GATCATCTGTTTGAGAGTAGTCTTTAGATCCAAGACAACATGTAAGAGAAAGGATTGAACAAAATAAAGTATTTAAACCCAGGATTACATTATGAGATGATGTAAAGCAGGTATGTATACTAGGATAAATTACTTGTCTTCAAAACACAGTTATAATTACATGCCTATAGACTTTCATTCATGCTCAACAACATAGCATACACAGTACTTATAACACAATGAAATGATTATTGTTTGAATTATGAGAAATTAGAAACAAATGCATTGAAACACATAATACTTACTATTCATCACTACTTGGTATATTAGGGTCTTGTAGCAAAGGCTGGCCCATGGCATCTACAGCATTGGCATATGCAGCTTCCTTCTACAACGAATACAATAAAGCATCAGTGGGAACTAAGTACAGTATCTCCTGAGGTTTAGCTTAACTTACTCAACTTAGATGAACTTACTGACTTGGGAAAAGTTTTGTACGAGTTGCTAGTTCTTTCTTATAAATTAAAAACGAGATTTTCAGTTTGAGCACCCCAGACAAATATCTTGAGAACAGGATTTTTCCATTCTATGAGAGCTACATCAAGTGTAATTTATCAATGGGAGAGAAAAAAGATTTCTCAAGGAATGAAATGCTTTCTGAAATGAGAAATCAAAACATTGCGTGCAGACCAAAGAGTACAGGGAGTTTTCAATGCCAAAAGTTATGAAGCTTATCACATGGTCTTATAGAATGGCTTAAGATGGAATGGTGAAAACCCTGTATCTGAAAGAAGAAATTACGCCACTTTCACCATAGCAACTAGACGGAAGTATAATGTTAATTAATTCCCAGGATTCATGTTATAAACTAATAATGTGTACCCCATAAGAATGGGGAAGTTTGCAGAGTCTAAACAAAGAAAAAAGATGCAGGAAAATGTATTTGTAGCATATAGCTTCTTAAATTGAACCTTTGAGATGGTTTTGGAAGTTTGTAATAGCAGAGGAGAGGAGAGGAGAGTTTGTACTTGTAAATATTAATATTTTATAAAAAAATACATATTTATTCAAATGTTTTCTTCTTGTTACCTTGATATCTAGTTCGTCATCTACCCTTTCTGTACTAGGTCCACTGTGAGCAGCACGAATTGGTGACTTTAATTTACTATAACAGAAAAAATAGGAAAAGTCATGTAAATCTGGCACTGGCTTTCACTTAGATGTTTGCTCCATAACCTTGTGAGGTGTACACCATCTCATCTTTCTCAGAACTGAAGTCAACAGTATAAACTACATTTTTACAGAGCTCATTTATAAATGTGTACTGGTTTTGTTGCTTTTTGCCTGTAAATATATGCAGGGCACAAAATTACCGCTCGCAAACTTGAAAAATGCAAGTGAAAATGTGTATTTAGCGAGTAAGAAAATATTTAACTAGCTAAGTTTTGCGAGTATGACCAAAGTCCAGAAACTGAAGGAGTGAAAAAATTATATTTATATAACTGGAGAACAGTTTTTATATGGGAATTCAGTTTCCCACTACTGTTTTCCTCCCTTAGTATATTATCGTTACTATGTACATTTTTATTTCCGTTTGTGTGTTATATATTTTTTTAAATATTTGTATGTTCATTATTTTTGGGAAAGTCATTAAATAAATAAATAAATAAAATAAATAAGTAATGCTTGTTATTCCCTGTGATCGATAGCTAGTGACTTTGAAATTTTTTGCTATCAAAACTTACTAGCAAGGTTTTGCTAGTGGGTTTGAAAGCAAATTTTGTCCCAAGATATGTACATTTTGTTGTCCCCCAAAACTTAATTTCACACAAACTTGACTCACTGTTAGCATGCAATCAAGATGTATAGTTCATTATTGTACCTTTGAGCATTAACTCTTGTCTTTTTGATGGGTCCTTTAGGTCTTCCTCTAGATCTTGATGATTTGGATTCATTCACAATAAATCCTTCTTCAGAATCTGGAGTCAATGGCGAGGCAGGAGGCATACATCGGGTAGGTGACATCTAAACATCAATTAACAGAGCACTGTTATTTTATAGCAACAAATAAGAATTAAAAATCGAAATTGGGATTTAGCCTCTCCACAGAGTGGCTTTGCACCAACTGAAATCTAAAACTAGCCAGTACATCACTTTAATCTCAAAAGCTTTTCTACTTTGGGAATAGTCTCCTTTGAACACAGTTCCCTGCGCCATCTTGAAAGATAGTTGAGACTTTGCATGGAAGCGAGCAAATGGTGAGCTTGCAATGATAGAGACCTGTATTTAACACCTTGGACAATTATTCACATGTCTCTATCACTGCAAGCTCACCATTCGTCTTGCTTCCATGCAAAGGCAGGGCTACCTTTCAAGATGGCGCAGGGAACTGTGAAGGGGACTATTATCCACAATTATCTATTTTTCTCTTCTTTTTATTCTTACTCAATCTATGTATTTATCATTGTAATTATATTATTTGTAAACCTTTGAATTCATAATTTTCATTCAATCAGTGGGGGAAAAATAAAAAAAATAAAAATTTAGAATTTAGGAATTTTTATGGAGGGAGAAAAACTGGAAAACCCAGACAATACCCCTAATACATGACATAATGTGATAGAAATACCAAACAACTCTACTCACATGTATATATGGGACACTGAGTTTGGGGATCAAATCCAGGTGATAATAATTGTGAAATTTGATCCTTAGTGTTATGCTACCATGCTCCCTAAATTAAGACTAAAACTGGCCAATAAATAGATTTAAGTTTTCTAAAAAGCAGGAAATTTATCAAACTATTTAACTAGTAAAGATAGGTGTAATCCACTTCATTAAATAACAATAACAAAAAATAATAAAATAAACATATAAAAAGTAAAGAAATGATATATTCTGTTGCCTATTTTATAATACTCATAGACGATGTGACTGCTATTCCTAAATCTTCTATAATTACAACTAAGTCGAAACTAAGTCTGGTTTGATGTATCTACATGAACATGAATTTAATACAGTCCAATCATTTCATCCCTTCGTTGAACCCAATAAACTAAATCTATTTTTATAATCATCTAATCAATAAAGTTCCAGACGTCTGGGTTTCTGTCTTCTGTTGATACACAAAAACACCTAACTCAGACCGTATTACAAGTTTGATTGACAGAAGCTAAATACTGTACCCAGACCTGGTACTGTGATAATCATGTAATAATAATAAGGGTATGCTATTTTATTTGAAAATACGTCTTTCTAGCAGTTTCCATGCATATTAGAAGTATATATATGTACATATGTAATACATCTGCACGTGTCTTATAAATACTTATCATATAATTATCCATAAAATACCTATATTTCTCCTATTCGAAAAACTGATATTTTCACATGTGAAAATAACATGTTATTTAACATGTGAAAATATCGTTATAATATCATGTGTATTTAAGCTATTGGTTTATAAATAAAAACTATTTATAATAATAAAATACTTATTAAGTTGACTTTATGGATAATTATATAATAAACAGAATATTACATGGGCACTTGAGATACGAAATTTATCTTCTCGTGCTGAAAATCTCTCACGAGTGAGCGCAGCGAACTCGTGAGAGATCTTTTCAACACTCAAAGAAAAAATCTCCGCGCACCCATATAATATCTTCTATACATATACTGCGATGTTAGGAGCTACTGAGCAGAAAAAGATATGTTAATTGTACGAAAAAAATGGTATTTCAGCTGAGTTTGATTCTTTCCTTTTTCATAAACACGGGTTTGAAGTCTTTTTCAACTTTTTCAACCATTTGATCAGAACACTTGTAAGTATTTTTGTCTTTTTTTGAGAAACTTCATTGTGAATACAAATTACACTGACATAAATACCCAATATATAGATGATATGCAGCAAGCACTAATAATTTATTTATTCATTTACATTCATATTTTAACAGGAAGCTTCTTCACTTATAAATGTGATTTTCAAGAAGGTCCTGATAAGTAAGATATTTTTACAATAATATGCAAAAAGAGAATTTGGAGGTTGAATATCGAAACCAGCTCGTTACTAAAAAGTCAACATCATTATTACTAGTATGTAAAATTGTAAAAGATGAAAAGTTCAGGAAAAAAATTGAACACTGTTTACTTCATAAAATATAATAGAGCGGATGCAATAAAACCGTGAAATAAAATCAAACTAAATACTAATTAATAGTATCTATTTAGTGACTAATTGTTACTATTACTAAACCAGAACATTTATTAAAGAAACAAAAGACACAAATGATCTCTTGTGTATTTGTCTTTGTATAATGAATGTTCTGGTTGAGTAATAGCAACTATTAGTTACTAAATGGGTGCTATTAGTTAGTATTTAGTTTGATTTTATTTCACAGTTTAATTGCATCCGCTCTAATGATAATGACACTAATCACTAATTTTGTTTATTGAGGGTATAAACACGAAACAGTAAAATACTGATGAGCGAGTGTGCTTTACTTCAAACTTGACGTTTCGGCATCACTGATGAATGATATTATTATAAGCATGTTTCATTTGTTCAAAGAAATGATTCCATCTTACTACAAGTTATTCTTGAAAACAATGAGTGCGGTTGAGTGTTTAATGGCAACATTTAGCTTGTGTTTTTTTTGACTGTTTGAATGTGTCATTGTAGGTTTAATGTCAGATTAAAGCACTATTAAAACAATTGCAACAAAATGAATAAACACAAACCATCTTAGCTTAGTCTTGGAGCACATTTAAATGTTGAAAAAATATCTAGAGTGAAATTAAAACTAGCCTTATGGAAGAGAATATCAAGTTCACTTTATGACATACAAGTAATTGTACATAAATTTTCAATTTACTGTATTAGAACGTTTCAATAATGTAACAATAATCTGGTTTGAATTGATCAGCCATAAGCTATATTGTTATCATTATTGAGATCCTTATTTGCTTTCATTATACCATCATTATCTCCCTGTTTATACTCTACTAAGTGAAGAAAACACCAGGGGTTTCCCCTGATCTATAAATAGCAACAACTGTTACAGTCACATTCTTTGTTTTTAAAATGGCCAACATTGTATAGAATGAAGTAGCTAGTTTTAAAATATATTCAAGTATTCATTTCAGGCAGAAATAAAATCTTTATCTAAGCAACAGAAATAAAATCTTTATCCAAGCAACAGAGTCAGAGATTTAAGTATCTTACTATGAACCTTATACTGCGCAATTTGATCGTATCAAAGGTTGAACTTTAAAAGTCATTTAATCACGTTTTATAAACCTAAACGGACAAAGTTGTCAGAATCCAAATGCATCATATATTATGAAGGCATTTTACTCTAGAAAAACTTGCTGAGAACAAAAGTATGAAACTAGATGTTGATATGCAAATTTTAAAGCATACTATATATATTGTATACACAGCTCTTAAGATAAAAGAAAACAGATAAACAAAATATATCACTTTTTCGTTAAACTTCTTTATAATGTTTCAAAACACTTTTTACTGATATACTGCCTACACCTTTACTAAGTACAAATACTGGCTTCTTAGAGTTAAAATATGATAGAGTATTATGAACCCCTAAGATTAAGCAAATGCACTAATTGTTGAAAAATAACATTTCATATGATTAAAAAATATGTTATGGGCTAAATTCTTGTATAGTGCACTATATCTGTCAAACAGTACTATAGAGTGCATATGCCCACGAATTAGTGCAAAGTTTTGTAGGTCTACTGAACTTACTCATTTGTGCAATTTCTTACAATGTTTTTCACTGATGCATGGTATGCACTCTATGCAATTAGCAATAATTACTTACTAAAAAGCACTCATGAAACAATAGAAAGCACTATATGCTATTTCATACTTATTTAGTGCAAAATAAATGAGTATTGTTCCACAGATTGAGTGTGAGCACCACTCTATTGTATAATGAATAATTTCTTCTGCAACAATGTTTTGTAATACAGCTTAAAAGTTTTGCAACCATTTACAAAGAACCAATGCAACATAAGAAAAATCTTGAAAGCATGACTCAATAGTAATGAACTTAAAAATTTTGATATCAAACTTAAAAAAATTTTAGAAATATATACTTTAAAAATTCATTGCTTTTAAATTCCATCTGCACAGTCTGAACTTGGTTGAACTTTGTAAATAATCATCATTAAAAAATGAGTGCAATTAATCTACATTATTCCAACAATACTTTTAGCATGGTTTCTAATTTTATAGCATTAGATGAATTCGAACAATTAATATTTTTTAAGTGAAGATTGATGATAGAGACAACTTAAATAAAATTTTAACTTTACCATAAAAGCTTCACAGTCTCTAATGTAAAATGTGGACAAAATAAATACTAGTGAGAAAAATAAATTTCTAATTGAATTTCATCTTTTTGTTTAAATGTTTGTGATTATTACTGTACACATTCAACTCTTTTGTTCTTCCCTTTCTTTATTATATAGCACAATAAGAGATAATTTTAAGGCAACTTAACAAATAGTGATAAAATCACAAGACAGAGGTTAAAGAATGGATATTGTTAGTTATAATCACCTTGTATATAATCTGCTTTGGGTATTTTAATTTTTAAATATGCTGTTTACCAGGCATAAAAGGCAAATTAACTAATAACTGCTTAGTTGTTATTGATTATCCTCAGTTCATGGCTTATTAATAATCAAATAAGCTCATGATTCTATAAAAAACTCAAAGTAAAATAGAATAGTAATGTTAAAAACAAGCAATTCTATAAAAAACTCAAAGTAAAATAGAATAGTAATGTAAAAAGCAAGCAATGTTTTAATGTTTAATCTAAAACTATGTGGTTTACACTGACCCTAAGCTTGAAACACTGACATATTATCACAAGGTAAGTTATAATAGTTATTATTTTTDCTATGCCCAAGCATCTTAAAACTTTTTTGTACATGTATGATCGGTGATTTTTGACAACTGTGCTCTTGTATTGACATCTATTAAACACGAAGCAGCTCCACCTTGGGGGTGAATAATCGATTGAGTAGCACTACTAAACGTACGTGACATTTTCAAAATCTTTAAATTGAACATCTCCAACAAGTCACTGAATATGATATTGCATACACATTGGAAACTTTCTTATTGAAAACTAACTTGATAACAATCATAATAAACAAAAACCGTTTTAATTTAGTAAAAAAATATTTCATAATATTCACCAGCAAAGATCAAAAACAATAAATTAAGACAAAACTGTTCATTACTTTACATGTAATATCTGCATACCACTGATACACAGAATGATATTAAGAACACAATGTATTTTTTCTAACTAAACATGAGTAAAAACTACTGTAAGCCCCTTGTTATTTAGCGTTTACAAGATAATAAATGACTTTGAAATAATTATGCCACCATCTGTTTTTATGTCAGTTGATTCCAAATAGTTTTACAAAAAACTGTATTATCAATGTTGTTTTTTTCAGAATGGAAAAGAACTTTGAAAACAAGTGAATGGTTTGCTATACTTAATAAACTTCACCATCAAAGTTTTAATTCAAAGGAAGCCTTTCAGAGACAAAAATTTCAGATCTTTCTTTGATTTTTGTAACATGAAGCAGTTGGTTAATTGCAACTTTAATATTATTTTTTACTAAATCCATGCATTCAGTTAAGGTTAAACAGGCAATTAAAAAATTGAAAAGACTTCTTGAGAGACTTTTTTAGTGAAATAGCTGAACCTTAGCTTTCATCTTAATATATCCTACAAAATATCAAAATTAATGGAAAACTATTTTTCTATGAAACAAAAAGAACACCAAAGAAAAGTATTTCTTGGCAAATTTAATAAAACTGGTCTACAAAGCTGTAATATAACTTATTACTGGATTTATTTATATGTAGATGCATCTCATGAAAGAAAACTATATTTAATTTCATACTGTCAGAGAAAACATTACCATTTGAATACTTGGCTTACAGATAAAAATGAGTGGAACATGATTCACCCCATGTATCTTTCAAAATTTAAAACAAGAAAATGTTTTCAAGGGTGAGGGAAATAACCCTCAAAACTCATTCATATAACATCAACTATGGGTGAGTTAGAAAAAATACACTACGAAGATCCTTTTAATTTACGCAACATCACTACTATTACTACAAGATATAAAATAATTTAGGCACAAACTATTACTACTAGATTAGTTGTTGTTTGAATTTCTCTATTCAATCCTAAAATGGAAATATGTTTCTTAAGTTAAAAAACGAATATCGAAATACATTAGAAAGAATATCAAAGAAATAAAGAAGCCATAAATCGAGCTTAGAAATTGTGGAAGTAAACATGGAAGTTATTTTCAATCTATGGAACTTCGCATTTCCTTCCTCTATGGAAAGACAAACTTCAGTACTTTTAAAGCAAGTTTTTTTTTACTTTTTTTTCTACTAAATACATACCCCTGTATCTACCAGCCTTGGCCTTCCAGGTCCACGCTTTGGTCGTCCTGGAAGAGAGAGAAAAACGCATCAAAGAAGCACTCAATACTATATATCGTGATCAAGGCAGTCACAAACATCGTTAGTACGAAGCTGCCGAACACAAAAAAAAACATTGAAAACCCACCGAATTTAGTTTTCTGCGATCTTCTACACTTAACTGAGAGTATTAAATTTCCGATTGGAGAAAAAGCTGAATCGAAGAGATAAGAATAGCGAATTGAAGATGCTTTCAAGCCATGATCGTAACCAAACCTGAAAACTAAAACACAAACGAAGCCATAGAGATCTTCGAGGTACTACAAGAAGTCATCTGCCATTGGGCGTTTGATTGCCCGGGTTCTTGTTCATTTCAGATCGTGCAATCGACAAACATATCAAACCAGCTAGCTAAGTTTGTCGATTTCAAGTTGTAGGTTCTTTTCCGTGGTGGCGGAAGACCTCTTTTGGACAACAAATGAACATTCATTAATAATGGAAAATCGAGTGAAACGCAGATGTTTGAGAGAGCCACAGGTGAAGAATTCTCTTAGAAGGAAAATCTCCAGAAGACTTGATGACGGAAAAGGGCTGGACAGAGCTCTAGAGCAAAATGAAAGCCATCACAGTTCACTACAACTGGAATCATATCGCAACAATTCGAATTTTTCGTTTCGCCGACCATCTTACACCTTAGTCCAGTAATTATTCATATTATGGTATAGAATTTCTTTGTTTCGTTTTAAAGAAAAAATTGGAACTTTGTGAGCTTAAGATCAAGGGAAGACGGAGAGAAGGTAACTTAGGTTTTATTGTAAGATTTTTAAAGGAGCTTTATAGTTCGTCCACCGCCCATCAAGCTCAACTCGACCAAGCGATGGCAACTTTTCTAAGATGAATTGTAGCCATCGGCTGTATCGACCAACCTACGTATTTACGAATGCCGAAACAAGAAAGTTAGGCCAAAAACAGCTCATTTCCTTGCTTTACGGTAACTCCTGTTTAGATTATATACTAATCATTACGAACTCGAAAGAATGCCGAGTATTTCAGCCTAAAGATGTTCTGTTTTGAAATTTTTAAAGCACAAATTCGACAGATCTCTATTGTTGGTTGAATATCTTCGCGCCACGGTTTGGGACGTATCGGGAAAATGGCGTCCCTTCCATAGTAGCTCAACAAAAATGCCTTTTTCTACTTCTGAACGTTATTTATAAGAGTTAAAGATCCACAGTTTGGCTAAGCATGAACCAAGGATGCTTAAAGGACATCTTGCACTGATCAAAATCGTCATTCGCTTTAAATCTAAACTCGGTTTTTGAACCTTAAAACAAAGCTAAGTCAATCATGTCAGCAGAACCAAAGCGTATGCAGAACCGATGAACTCTTTACTCAAACTTACCAGACATTCTGTATCCAAAAAAGTCCCTATAGCGCTGAAATCCTTTGTTGAGCTTTTAGCCCACAGTTAAATCCTTGGTACGGATATCCAATACAGTTAACTGGATGCCCTCGCGACCACTATCGCGTCGTTCGCGTCAAATTCGAATCCACTTACGACTGCTACAGTAGTCGAAGACACTGGCTCACAATTTCAAACATACTCCCAACTTTTCGTAACTTGTCCACTGTCGTATTGAATTTCCTGGCTCGAAATGATTTTCCTCGACGGCCAAGATATTAATCTTTGATTTTCGAAGCGAATTATTTTGGTAGCAGTTGTATAACGTTCAAAGTAAAGGGGATTTTTGGGGCCTTTGGGCCAAATCGCGTGCCGCCATGCATGCTTTGACCCTGCTTCGACTGGCTATCGCACTTGCGCGAAACAACACGACCCCCCACGGTCCGGCTCGAATGGCCTTCCACAGTTTACGCCAATCAAATGGTCGTACTTCCGAGGCCCATTCAAAGGCCCGATTGGCTTAAAAATACTGTGACGCGGCGCTTAAAAATGGCTCTTTCTTGTCAGCTGATTGTTTTTGGTGGGCTTCACAGCTTTATAACTGGCAAATAATGTTATGCAGTGAAAGTAGACCTTTTTGACTGTAGTTTCTTTCGTAAAATCGAGATGAAAATAGACCGTTCGTGACTGGGATTTAGGGAAACCATTTCGTAGTCGACTGACTTTGACTTTGGTATTGTTTTTCGTGGAAAAATAACTTACTTTGTTTTGGGTTTTTAACCTATGTTTTTTCGTTGTTTATACCACAACAATTAAAAAAATAACCAATAAATCGGATTAGTAATAACGATTCCGAATTACAATCTTTTTTATCGTGGGGAAAAGCTTTGTAAAAAAAACAGTTAAAGTTTCTTTTTTTGATATTTTTTTTTAGTTTTCCTATGACATGAGTTGTTAATAGAAGGCAAAAAATTGGTTTAATTCTTCCTTGAAGTCTTGTAAATTATTTAATAGTAGTTTTAAAGACTTCGTATTAAAATGATGAAATATTAGGGAAGTTCTACGCACTTTTAGTCATTTTACTTCTTCCGGGTTTTCGACAGACATGACGAAAATAACAGAATCACCGCCGCCATATTTTCTATTTTTTGAAGAAAAAAAACATCTGGAAGACAGTCTAATACTATACCATGTGGCGAAGGAAAGGAAAAACTATAGAACAGCTCGAGATATGTCACTGTCATTCACTTCCCTATGATTAATAGACGCTAAATATTATGATGGAATTCCTAATAACAAAAGGAAGGACTGAAGACCACATATTTATTAGTTTTGATAAGTCATATCGTCTTTTCTTTTGTTTTGCATCGTCATAAATAATAATTGTGCAGTGAGCTCTAGCTGGCAATTTTGGAAGTGTTAGTTGGGGTCCCCACCGCGAATTTCCTAAGACACCACGAACCCATTGCATAGTTGGAAATGAAGTTAAATCGGACTCCTTACTTATATAAATTTTTTCAATAAGTTATTATCGTGTATTAAACATTTGAAATAAAAATTGTCTATACTACTATCCAAACTGATCGACTGATATTTATATGACAGCCTCAGCTCTGGCAAGCGTAAAAATGACTGACAAGTATTACTCAACGCAATACAAACTACCATTGAATTTTAAGTCATTAACATTATTCATTGTTCATTAATAAAGATAGACGACTAGTACACTGTCGATGTACCATTGGGCAGAATGTGGAATCCCCTTTGTGCCTTGGCTTGTAAAATGGTCACGTGACTGTAATGACTCTAGCTAGCTTGATTTGGCGGGAAATTATGGGTGCCAGGTCTTATGCCGATTCTATGTGTGGGTTCCTTTCCTTCCTGCTGTCTACCCACGTACTCCTGATGACAAGAAAGTATGTCGACAAAGTAATCGATCGTCGCTCACTTGCCCGTCAAGCCAGCGAAATTAATGATGATTAAAGTTGGCAGTGAATTGAAAATGGCAGCCTTCAAAATTATTCTTTATCATTCTGTACACTGATATCTATAAAGGAATTGTTAATCTAGATCTATGGACCGGCCGCCATTAATGACACTTCTAAATCTCCTAACAACCCATATTAACTGTAGTCATTTGGACATGTGTCAATAATCAACCTGGATATGGACATAGTATTTGTAATTGAAGAATCCTGTCATTAGTACAGACAACATTGAGTAACTGTTAATTATAACGAACCGTCTCAATGTAATATAACAACACGACTCGACGTGGGCCAGCGCCGACAGTAATAATCTAAATTGATGAAAGGCGCAGGTTAATAGTTGAGGATAACTGAGGTAATCTGGTTTATCAACATATGAATTAATAATCAATACTATGGGGGCTTATTTTGGATAATATTGACTCTAATCAAACTAGCTAGTTTAGAAACTAAACTATTTTTCTGCTTGAGCACTAATTAATTAAGGAATTTTGATTAATAGAGAGCAAAAAAAGTTCTACATGATAAGGGAATGAAAATATTATCGGTTAGTATGATTTTTTAAATTAATTTTTATTCTCTCTGACATTTTGAATGATTCTATACTAGCCAAAGCGTGGACTGAGCATTTATTTCGCCTCATACGAGATTTAGAACTCTGTGTTTCGATATATATTCATAAGTCAAATGGTATTAAAATCAAAACACCGGTATATTAAAAATTCGAAATATCTCTGGCATCGAGTGACTCGATTACTTTACTCCCCTTTCCGGCTTCCTCCCTCTTTTCGAAACCTTCTTAGCCAATCAAAAGTAAGCCAAGGGAATCCCCCTCGTACGCGCGATTTTCTCGACCCTCCGCGCAATTGCGCCTGGGAAAAAGCAGTGACAAGATATTCAAAGTCTCGTTGATTGTGTCAAATGTGGTGAAATCAGTTCATTTACATATTTAGACTTTGCTTGGCCCTGACGATTAGAGACTATCGAATTGAATCACGACTGATATCCATTGCTCTGGTAAGCACTGGTTGTAATATGTTTCGTAATTTAGAGCAGTTATTGTTATATTTTTCGTCGATGATACGAACTACTTTACTGTAATAGCGCCATGCAATAATCCTTCACTCATTAGCATATTTAGTTTGTTCTGTACAAACGACACTGCGCGTTTGTTTGGATGTTTATGATGGCTTTGTCATAGGTCCATCAGACAAACCAACTTACTCTATCTTCCCTTATCTTTAACATTACCAATACATGAACGATTTTTTAAATCTTTTGAACCAAATTTAATAATAATCGCAGATATCGTGTTTTATCAGACGAATTTGCATAAAGAGAATACGATTTTTATTGAAACAAAAGCTAAAGGATTTCAATAGACATGCTGTCACTCGGATAGCATCCTACAGAAACATGGCCACCCCTCCTTAACGAAAGTATCAAGTGATTTCATATTTGTTTAAAATAAGCTGTGTTTTAAGAAAACAAACTAGCCTAGTCCTACACTCCACTTTTAATTACTCGGGCTACCTGTAAGGTAGGCCGAGTTTAGGTTTCGGTTTTGTATCAGTCTATCGTATGGTCGAGGTTTTACATGATGAATATGTATGCCATCGAGACAGTCATGAAAGCGAGGCGACGCACGAGTGCAAGTCATGTGACCTACATGTTGGGTCGGAGGTTTTCTTGCTCTCTGCTCCTCGCCGGTGGTTTGTTATGGCGAATTCCTTTTCTTCTGGGACACTCAAAATACACACAAACGCACACGCCGTTCGCGGTAGACCCACACTAAAAGATGTCGAGCGTTTTCGGAACGGGTCGGTCCGCGAACTCAAAGCAAAATGCCAAAAGAATGCCAAAGATACCAGAAAGATTACCAGAAATGTGAACTCAAATGAAACTCGAATGAACTCAAATGAAACTCAAATGAACTCAAATGAACTCAAATGGACAAACGTACAAACTTACTCAAACGTACTTAAACGAACAAACAATCACTAACTCTTTAGTAAGCAGGAACTTCATTGATAACTGCTTCGAAGATGATGGAGACAAAGAAAACATTCCATGTAAGCTGAAGATGGACGCCATATTGGAGTCTTTCAAGACAACATTTCATGCCTTCCGCGAATCAACAAGCATTGGACTTACGCCATTTTCATCGAGGATAAGTTTTTTATGTATTCTTTTCTTTTTGTTCTCAATTTTGGACAGTTTCTTCAACATTCTATCGTTCGTTCAACTATTAGTAGCGAGCCTGTTGTGCATGATGTTGATTTTAATTGTACATTTCATAAATGAGTCAACTAAGAGTTTGGTATACTCTTTGGAAAATGACTGTGATTTATTGGAAAAGACTGTACAGTTATCTGTATTTGTTGATCACAATAAACTATTACATTTATTAGAGGATTGCAGGTCTCGTTATGCCAAATTTTATACTTCTCAGTACCGTGTTGAGCACAAGCCTCGTGTTGCTTCGCGTGATCGAGAACCAAGTAGAGTCCCTGTTGAACAACTCGCACGCCTTTTGCACAAAAGCAGAAAAATACGGAAAAGGGTTCGTAAGTAAGTTTTCAAAAATGTACCCATGACATCTAGAATGCATTGCTTTGTCAATAAATGTCATTTGAATCACGAAATAATGAAGTGTTATTGCAAAATCTACAAAGGATCTAAACGAAACAAAGCT